AGACAAAATGAAAATCAGGAGACAAGTCAAGTTGGAGATCTAGATTTGCTGAACATAAGTGTATAAGTGTTAGCTGAAACCAAGAGGATAGATGAAATTACTCAAGTAAAGCATGTGACAAGATTAGAAGAGGGAGATAAGAATAGACTCCAGCTTTACATTCACTTTTAAAAGACAGAAAGTTATAACAGAAGAGATTATAAAGTGGACTAAGAAGATCAGATCAGGGAAGTACCAAGATAATCAATAAATCATGACATGATGGAAGTCAGAAGAGCAGAAATATCAGGAAAAAGAAAGTGAGATTTCTCTAGAAAAAGAGGATTTGAGAAAAGGCCTTTAAATCCTGTGCCCTTCCATTCCAACTTGAAATTATAAGAGAAATTTGAAATAGTAAAATATTTCATTCAGGCTAGAACTAAGGAAAGAACATCCACATATTTGACAAACTTTAAGGAATGTCTTTAGACTTAGGTTCCATGAGGATTGGGGTCATGACTTTTTCATTCAACTTCGTATTGACCAATCATGTAACATAGTTGGTAATTAATAAACAACTTATTGAAAGAAATAAAAAGAAGAAGGAAGGAATGGAACCACAAATTAAATCAGACTGGAAATGATTCTGAGTCACATTAACTAATGACCTTGCTGAGAAAGTATTTTAATATTGCAAGAAATCAACAGAAGCTACCTGTCTGAGTGGCACTAATGCCTCTAATTTGGAGGTATGACAAAAATGAAGGTGATCACGTCATGAAACACTCCAGAAGGAATCCCTTTCCCTGCTGTAGCCTTGTTAACAGTGGAAGTATTGGTAACAGTAGCTCTGAGAGGTGGCATCCAACTGAATGTTACTGGTAGCAAAATGCTCCTCATCGAGAGTGAATTTCCCATGACATGGTTTAGAATTGTATCAGTAAGAATTGATTCTGCCTAAAGGGGACACCCAAAGCTGCCACAGACTTGTGTGCACGTAGGCCTCATGTGTAAGGAAGCACCATTTACATCAAGGTATCCTAGATTTATATATTTATCACAATAGGGTTTTGACAGATGACAATGAAGGATCTTGTAAATGAGTAAATGTATTATGACAATTCTGTTATATGGAAGTAAAGTGTCTTGAGGATAAAGCACACTTTTCTAGTTTCTACAGTCACTGTATAGACAGGAGGCAGCCATGGGAACATCTACCTCCATGGGTACCTCAGAAGCCTGTTGTGAAAATGGGTAAAGAAGAGTAATCAAAATCTGGTGTAGACACTTTGTGTTTTGTCTGTTGTGCAGTCATTTGCTTTTTTGGTAAAAGACCCACTTTTCTCCCATTCTCAACCACAAAGCTTAATTTGTGTCTCCACCCAAGCTCCAAGGGTAAGCATATGGCCAAGGCTTGGGAAATCAGAGAATCTTACTTTTTTACAACAATGATGGTTGCAGGGAGGGGTACTTGACCCATATAAAATGCAATCTCAATATGTACTTTTGCTGGAATTTCAGGGTAAAAACATCCTTTCTTTCCTGATGGAGTCACTAGCTAGGTATTTTTTTTACTGCGGGCCAGCCTAGAGGCCCATGGCACACTTAGGACACAAGATACTGTTATTATTCCTTAACCAGATTGTACTTATTCAAACACTTTCTAGCTTTTGATCTGATCCTCTCCTTCTGTCTCACGGGATGGAGAAAGGAGGGTGAGATATCTCTGCAGAATTCCACAGAGAACTCTATGACTAGTTTTATTTGCCAGAGTCCCATACAGCCCCTTAGTTTTCCAGCTATTTGAAGTGACTTGTGCCAAAATTACTTCAACACTAACTCTTCTTATTGTCTGTTGACACCTAGTGATGATTCTCTTTAGGATCCTATAGGTTCTTTTTCTGTACAAGAAGCCTCACACTTGAATACAGAGATGGGGGAACTGAATTGACTTTATAATTTCTTTTATTCCCCTGATCCAAATGTTGATTTCCAGACTTCCTTTCCTTCCTTCCATTTCCATGCTTGGAGGGACTCCTCTTCCCCTTTTGTCATTAATCATTCCTATAGTCAGTCTCCGCCCAATTCTCTTTGAAGTTTTCCCTGTTAGCAGATAATGTTTAATTGTCAGGCTTTTCTCCATAAAACACATCTTTTATGTGATTGCAAACAAATGTTTCTCAAATTAAAGTAATGTACCATCCCATTCTAAAGGAAAATAAGTTCTCTTTAAGTCCAGTGCTAATACAAATTAACACTTCTTATGTAAGAAGGTGTTATAACTGAAATTTTGACTAGAGACAATAGATGGGAAATTACAAAGTGTGTCTAAATCACCTATGCCTATTTCTAAACCAAAGGAAATGATAAAGATAAGTATCCTACAACTAGATACAGCTTGCAAACCTGGTCAGAGTTTAAAGTGGGAGAGTGGTTTGTGAGAACATCATTGGGGAAATTACTGTAGAGCTATGCCTCCCCCTCACCCCAAACTTGGCACATGTATGTCTGTGTGTGTGCATGATGGAGGGGGATTTCAGAGTGCTATTCTGAGAACCTAGCATGCAACTCTCCATATTGTTTGGCCCAAGAGACTGAGATCATAAAAGTCTAGGCAGGAAGAGAGACTGGTTGACTCACTGATGGATTTAGGTGAGGGTGGCTGGTTGACCTCAGCCCACTTTAACCATGTTTACACATTAATAGTACTCCGGAGGGGCAGAGATGCATAGATATTTCCCCATGGGCAGCCATAGAGGAGTCATAAGGTGATTTTCTTAGACACCAGTCTCATATGGTCATTTGGGAGAGTACAGAATTTTTTAAGGTAACCACTGGCTTTCTAAGGACTAAGCAAGGAGTCATCAGTGATCATAATGGATACACATATCCTACTATATCAAAGACACTATAATTAGAAGGCCTACAAAGGCACCCAAAGGAAGGGAAATCAAAAGCTTTCAACATCTGCCAGCTTGTTAAGATACCAGATCAAGTAAGACATTTCTGTCCCCTGGCAGCTTATCCCACCCTCTCAAATTTAGCCCATGTCTAAAATATAAGGGAATCTGGGCTCTGTATTATCTAATAATGAGAAGAAAATTCCTGAAACTTTCTGAGTTTCCATTTAGGCACAGATAAAATTTTTCTCCCACTATATTGAATTTGAAGGAGAAACAAGAGATAAGATTTAAAGTTTTATTTTGTTTATGTCACAGTGTCTTAAAACCCAATTACAATTAAATATAACCTTCATAGCACTGGCTTCAAATGCTTTGAAAATGGAAGTGTAAGATGTAGAATTAGGAAAATTGAGTGTTTATCTGGAGGAAGTGTGAAACAAAATTGCCACTTCGTGAATATGGTACTGAGAGCTCTGAGAAATATCCTCTTTGGGACTTAAGTATGTATGCTGCCACCATTGTCTATATTGGAACTATTGGAAATCTTTGGTGTGACATGGTAACCTTTGTCTTCAGTACATGGAAATGCTCCACAGACTTATGACGTTCATTGTGTTCTTTTCTCACTAGCCTATATCACTTAAAGTAATACTTCTTGGTGCCAATTTTATAGGAATTATAAACATGGGTACTGAAATAGCACAACAGTACTTGTTATGATATTATGAAGTGGTGCTGGTGGTGGTGGGTGTGTATTACACATACCGATTTGATTATCTTCAAAATGAAAATACACATATTAAAGCATTCTCGTAATAAAACTAAAAGATCAAAGTTGAAAAGCACTAGAGCTGACTTTTCAATCTCAGGTTCTCCCAGGAAATCTGAATTTTGAATTTTGAGACACTATTAGGAGGAACAAAAATTATATCCTTCTTTTCTAATAACAAAATAAACATAATAGCCAAGGAAGCTAAGCTACATAGGTCAATGATACAGAAATATCCCGAAACATCATTTTTCCTGGAAATGTTCGTATACACAACAGTGATTCTCAAAATATAAGGAAGATAAATTTCCTTCTTTCCCACATGGATAAAATTTCCTCTTTCCTTTCATCTTTTCTCTGTCTTCATCATGCATTGTTATCTATTCTCCTTTCTTCTCTTTACCCTCCGTTCTGCATAGACCTGCTGCCAAACTCTCTTACAGCCTCTTCCCTCTCCTTTGTGAAGGGCAATGTGAAAGACCCCGAAAACACAACTGTATGGTAATATTGCCATCACATCCGACCATAAGATTCGTCCCTCCATCACCATTCACAGTATTTTGAGAGGTTTTCTAGTGATACTCTAGGTCTTCACAGATATTCCCAGCTTTTATCAGAGTTCGAGGGTCCACCAGTGTAGATACTCCCAATGAGTCAGGATCAGCACAGATTTCCAGAGTAGCATTTTCTCAGAGCATCTTCTCTAATCATCAGGCCATCAAGAAAGCAACCTTTATTCTGTAAGTTTCCAGTCCCATATGGATTAGCTCTTAACGGCCATATTCATAAGGACTAGAATAAAATCTTAAAAAAGTATTCATTCGTGGACACACACCCACACAGTCATTTTGTCATTAGTCAGTGTGTCAATATGGTCAGATGCCAATAGAGTGAAAGTAAGGGTCATCATAGTTTGTTCTAAATGGTTATGGTCTTCAAGTAATGTTATTCTAATGCAATCATCTTAGAATAAGCATACTGAATATATAATAAAAGAATATGTACTTACGTTATATACCTATCCACAGATTTTTTTAATCATTTGTGTCCCAACAGGAATATTTTATGTTTCCTGTCCATGAAACAATTAGGCAAATTCTTTGAATATGTCTTTCCTGAACAGTTTGCGAAGTTTCTACTATAGAGAATGGGGGGAGGGGGGTAAAACTAACTTGCACATGCAGGATAAATGCAACATTTTTCCCATAAATTGTATTTGGATTGGAGGTACATTGTTAAAGCAATATCACTTGAAATAAATATCAGAAACCAAAAGAAAAAAATGAAACTAAACTAAGCTGTTGGAGAAGTATCTATTAGAACCCCTGTATACCATTTATTACCTGAAGTCATACTTTGCTACACCATAACTTTTTCATGGCATTTTTCACTTCTGCATTCCTAAGTGTATAGATCAGTGGGTTTAGCAAGGGTGTCCCAATTGTATAAAACAAAGCCACCATCTTGTCTATTGAAAATGTGGTTGGTGGGCGTGTGTATATAAATATACACGGACCAAAAAATATGACAACCACAATAAGGTGAGAAGTGCATGTGGAAAGGGCTTTCTGCCTTCCTTCTGCACTATGGTTTCTCAGAGAGTACAAGATGACAACATAGGACATAAGAAGAATTACAAAACTCATCATGCATAAGGCCCCACTATTAGAAACAACTAACACATTTATCACGTAAGTGTCCATGCAGGCAAGTTTCAATAAGGGCTGCAAGTCACAGAAATAGTGGTCAATCACATTAGGACCACAGAAGGGCAATCTCAAAATCAGGAAAATCTGTGCTGAAGAGTGGATACAAGCTCCCACCCAGGCCAGAATCACCAACACGACACAGATTTGCCGGCTCATGATGGTTGTGTATCTCAAGGGCTTACAAATGGCTACATAGCGATCAAAGGCCATGAGGATGAGCACAAAAACCTCTGTACAGCCAAAGAAGTGGACTGCAAAGACCTGAGTCATGCACCCTTTGAAGGAAATGGTCTTCTTCTGAGAAAGGGCATCCATAATCAATCTGGGAGCTGTGGTTGTAGAGAAGCAAGCATCAGCAAAGGACAGATAGAAAAGGAAGAGGTACATGGGGCTCCCAAGGGTTCTGCATGTTTTAATAGTCACTACTATGAGAAAGTTCCCCAACAGTGTCACGAGGTAAAGAATCAAGAAGACTCCAAATATTGCTTTCTGCTTTCCTGAATCCTGTGTCAACCCAGCTAAAATGAATTCAGTCACACTGTTATTCATCATCATGCTAGTGGTTGTAGGTAAGATGCAGTTGGCAAAAGTTTAATCTGCAGAGAGAAAAAATGAAATGACATCTTAGGGAGATCAGTGGGCTGAAGTCTGAATTTCTTTTTTCTACACCATCCTGTAACCTCCAACTTCCTTTAATCCCCTATGAATCTTTGTAAATGTACAGAAGTCAAGCCTCTCTCAAATCTCTCTGTTAATTCAGACACTCATTGCATTGGACCAAAGCTTTTGTACAAATGAAAAATAAATGTTCTTAAAATTTCTGATTCCTACCAAGATTAAGAACTGCACAGCTTGTACTTTTTTGAGCAAGTGATTTAATTGCTTTGAAATTTAGCCTTCATATAAAAAGTAGAATACAGATACTTGCCCTACCTTATTCTGAGTTTTCCTAAGAACTGAAAAAAAGACTTTATACTCATACATGTACACACACATATATTTCACATATTATTCATCTTATCTGTGTGCTTTGAAATCTGAATAACACTATTACAATATAAGTAAGCACTAATATTGTTAGAGAATCCCTCCTGAAGAAAATATCCTCACTTTGGTTCACTCATTTTTAGTCCCATTATCCCTGACCCCTTCAGGGTTGTGGATGAAATACGCTTTCCTTTGACAACCCTTTACCTATGCCTTTTGTGTTCAAGACATCAGCTTCACTGATGGTCATGGAATAACAGGCGTCTGGATAACACTTCAAGGTTCTCATAATTTGGGAAACTACTCTTTATCTCTTTACTATACTCTTGAACTTAGCCCATTAGAATACTGAGCCTCTCTGCCTATGAATTTGATCTGATATAAATTTTCTAATATGCCTATAATGTAAGTAGTGTTTTTTACTCTCATATATTTGTCTTTACCCTGACTTCCCCAGGATACTTCTTATAAAGACATTATTTTAAAAAATCCCATAATCCCAATATAAAATTTTATGATTTTTCTATTTCAAGTTCTTATTCTTGGCATATATAGCTTATGTGATAGAAATCATCATATAATATTTTGTGTTCTGATTTTAACTAGAATTTTTATGAAAGTTCTTCCCATGTTGTCATGCTTTCCAAAGTTTATCAATTTAATACTGTGATAATGCGTACATTTTTATAAGAAGCATTTATTTAATCATGTCCTTTGAGAGACTTATATTGCTTCCAATTCTCACTCTCATAAATAATAATTCTACAAACAATTTTATAATAATTTCCAAAGTACAATATTGCTCCCCCAAATACTAGAGATTATCATTGTTATTAAGTATTAAAGAGTTTCGTACCTTCTTATTAACTGTATTTTTATTATAGAGTAATTCATGGTCATCACAAAATACTCAAAGTAAACAGAAGAACGTGAGAAGAAAAGTTAAATCTATCTCTAAATATTTAAATCTATTCTTCTACTCCCTGGAAATAAGTACCTTCAGTTTCTTCTATGTCCTTCCAGAAACATTGTATAAATATACTTGCCTATGTGTCTATCACTGTATCCTTTTTTTATATACAAATATGGCCAATATTTCAAGGTTGATGATTTTGCAGAAAAGCTGATGAATATGCAGACAAAAAATAAAGGTTATCTTGTGATGTTACCTATCTTATTATCTCACTTGGTCAGTAGGAAAAAAAATCTATTTTTATAACAGGCATGCAAATTTTTTTTTTTTTTAGAGATTTTTATTTTTTCCTTTTTCTCCCCAAAGTCCCCCGGTACATAGTTGTGTATTCTTCGTTGTGGGTTCTTCTAGTTGTGGCATGTGGGACGCTGCCTCAGCGTGGTCTGACGAGCAGTGCCGTGTCCGCGCCCAGGATTCAAACCAACGAAACACTGAGCCGCCTGCAGCGGAGCGCGCGAACTTAACCACTCGGCCACGGGGCCAGCCCCCAGGCATGCAAATTTTTATCACTAACCAAATTTTATATTTTACTGCATTTTTAATGTAAATATTATCCTTCCAAGAATCCTTTATCTTTTGTCAGCTCATATTTTGCAATCAATATTTTATCTAGAATGGCTATTAGTCTAGCAAAATAATTACATTTCTTGGTTAAGAATACGGTTGCTGGAGTCAGATGGCATGAGTTCAAATCCATGTTACTCTTTGCATGATCTTGATAAAGACACTTTAGACATAATCATGGTTACTATGCAGATAAAATGAGAAAAGATCTGGCTCAATAAGTTAAAAACTATGCGAATCAACCTATTCTATCTCCACTATTATGATTTTGCTTTTTCTCTTTTTTTGAGAATTTTTTTCCTTTTCATAAAGCCAAGCTGTCAATTTCCCCAGTGTAATTTAATCTATTGTTTCAAAATATTTTAAAATTATAATATTTATTCACTTGTCTTCCGTAATTCCACAATTATCTACCATTTCAAATATTGAATCAAAATTATCTGGAGATATCGTGAGGAATGGGGAAAATACGCCCCTGTTCTTAACAATTTAATATGAGTTTTAAGATAAATGGAGATAAGATCATTAATTATATATGTCATTATGTAATTGCTATTAGAAGAGTCTAAGCCCTCTGCAGAGAGAAGAGTACAAATTCCTAAAGGTAGATAAATTAGTAGTGAAAAGTTCATAATTATTAAAGGATGAACTATAATGTTAACTGAAAATAGTTAGGTTCCAAACCAGGTTTTCTTCAATGCAAAATCTCAAAAGCAGAGATAGGAAGTGTGTTAGCACAGAAATCAGTGCTTAAAATCTGAAGCCACGCTGCCTTGATTCACATACCACGAAACTGCCTATCATGGTGTGATATTTAATAAGATCCTTGATGTCTCTGTACTTCATTTTCTTCACTTGTAAACATAAATAATAAAATAATATACTTTTAGAGTGCTATGGTTATATAATTCCACATGGACAAAGCATATAGACGATGCAAGTATAGAGCACCTGCATTTGGAGTGGCTACTTTCATTATGATTGTTAGTACTGGTTTTTCAAGAAGTACATTCCATTTTTCCAAAACTATTAATTCAAATTGTTCATTTATCTTTGGCACAGTTATTTTAAATCATTAAGTGCCTTTACTGAGTGGCTGAAATCTTATCAGCACTGTGGATCATACTAGTTTTCTTACGGTGATCAGAAGCTAGGAATGACAATTCCAAATATCTTTAATAAATATTGAAAAATAAATAAAAAGTCCATATCAGCTTCAATACATGGGGCCCAAGATGAGAGGAAAGTAAAACTAAAATAAGTCCTTGACTGTGAAAAGTTATGGGACACAGATATAATAAAATCAGAGTGAGGATATTTGGGATGAGGGAAATGAAATCAAAGTTTTAATGGTTGATAGGGCAGACTTTATCAGGCAAATAGAAAGAAGGTCAACATGAAAACTCCAGTTTAGCCAGACTCAAAACTTGTAGCAGAAAAGCTTGGGAAAGAATGTTGTCTTCCTGGCTGAAGGCCATGAAAGCTAGGTTATGAAGTTTGAATATATTTTTATTGGTGAAATACAAAATTTGGAAGCACAAAAAACAAGAAAATAGCTTTTATCAAGATTTATTCAGTGGGGCCAGCCTGGTGGTGTAGTGGTTAGGTTTACACATTTCACTCTGACAACCCAGGGTTTGCCAGGTCTGATCCTGGGCGCAGATCTACAGACTGCTCATTAAGCCATTTTGTGGTGGCTCACATGGAAGAACTAGAAAGACTTACAACTAGGACATACAAGCATTTCCTGGGGTTTGGGATAGGAAAAAACAAACGGGAATATTGGCATCAGAGGTTAGCTCAGGGCCATCTTCCACACCAAAAAGATTTATCCAGTACTTAAAAAAAATCATTCAAAGCTCTTTAATGAAATTTACTCTTTTTTTTAATTTTTATTTTTTTCGGATGTACATCATATTTCAAATTCTGTGTACATTACATCATGTTCACCACCTGAACACTAATTATAGTGCATCCCCTCCCATGTGAGCCTAATCACCCCTTTTGCCCTCCCCCCTAGTCATTTTTTAAATTAAATTTAGAATAATTGGACTTTGAGATCATCTGTAATGAAGTGCCTACCTCCTTCAAGATATCAGAGTTCCAGTACAGACGTCTATCTTTCTATCCCCTACACTTAGAAACTCAGTGAAAACCATACACCTGGATTCACTATGGCCCCAACAAAATAAAGATGGGGCCTACAGGCATCCTAAATATGATTCATCACAGGCTTCAGACTTGTCACTTCCTTTCTTAGAGAAGACCATAAGTGTTCACACTCAGCCTCTGTGGGGAGTAGTAAAATTAAATATCTCTCCTCAGCTTTAACAGGATCATTTTTTGCTGCTGTTTTTAAGACTTTGCTTTTTAGAGCAGTTTTAGTTTCACAGAAAAATTAAGAGAAAAGTACAGAGATTTCCCATATTGTCCCTGCCTCACCCATTCATAAGCCTCCCCATTATCAGCATCCCCCACCAGAGGGGTGCATTTGTTATAATGGATGAACCTACACTGACACATCATAATCACCCAAAGTCCATAGTTTACCTTAGGGTTCACTCTTGCTGGTATACATTCTACAGTTTGGATAAATGTGGAATGACATGTATCTATCATGTATCATGAAAAGTATTTTCACTACTCTAAAAACAGGATCATTTTTATATACCCAAAACATAGAACATAATAATTCCTTTCACACAGTATTTAATACTCATTAAACTCTAAATAAAATGTCTCACACAATATAGTGGAAGAAAAATAACACTTTGAATGAGATACCTATGTGAGTGTTCATTGTGAGAATTATTAGCTCATACATACCAGAAAATCAGGCTGATATTTCATAAACATCATTATTCCAGATGGCCAGTCCAGGAATTATTTAAGTGAATTCTCATGGGCCTATTCTATGTTTCTAAACAGAAAGAAAGGACACAATTTCAGATATTTCCTCCTCTCCTAACTCTTTCTGTCCTCTCCCTCTTTTTAACTCCTTTATCTACCTTGAAAAGGAAAAGTGGGCATT